GAGTTTGGGAGTATTCCATCCTTTTCTATGCTCTGAAATACCTTTAGTAGTAGTGGTGTTAACTCTTCTCTGAAAGTTCGGTAGAATTCTCCAGTGAAGCCATCCAGGCCAGGGCTTTTTTTTGTTGGGAATTTTTTAATTACCTTTTCAATCTCTTTTTTTTGTTATGGGTTTATTTAGTTGTTCTATCTCCGTTTATGTTAGTTTAGGTAGGTAGTAAGTTTCTAGAAGCCTTTTGATGTACATTTAAAAATAGAATTTTAGATATATGTGGATTTTCCCACTTAGTGTACCATTACAGGATACAAAGGGAGCTTTAAATGAAAATACTGAAGTATTTAAGACTAAAACAGCAGCTGGCCTGAGAATTACAATTGTGTACAATAAGCAATTCGTTTCTATGCTGCTTTAGTCTCTATCAGATAGTTATAGGATGCTCTCCACTCTCTAACCACTTCATGTTGCTTATTTACATTTTTTTTATAATCTGAGTAAACTATCTGAAAAAGATGGAAACGCAAACTGGAATTCCATTTCAATGTGTCCCTAGCCTTGAACTCATCCAAGAAGTATTCAATGCCTGTCCTTCACTGCTGTTGTAACACTGTGTAACAGAAAAGATACATGACAAGTCTCCCCCCGTTAACCTTATGTACACTATAGAGACCAAATGTCTCTACAAAGACAATCCAAAAGAACCCCAGTAACACTAAAAAATCCAAGTTGCTTATTATAACATGTGTCCTGTTTGTTACCAAAATATCTAGTGACATTTGTTTCTCTTATATAACATATTTAAATCGAAATAGAAAAGTCCCAGCATTGATATTCAAATATTAACTGATCTGGGCCTATGGGACTAAATTCATAGATAGATGCAAAGGTATGTCAGTGGGCAGGGATTTGAAGTACTCTTTCTGGGATAAGATTTTAATCTCAATTTAAACCATGCTCTTTTTAATTGCAGGAATGATCCATCCACGAGTAATGGTACAAACCTGCCTTGGTAATCTAGTGTGGCTATAACAGAAATACCACAAATGGATGGCTTTAACAAAGAGAAGTTTATTCTCTCATAGTCCAGTAGGCTAGAAGTCCAAATTCAGGGCGCTGGCTCCAGGGGAAGGCTTTCTCTCTTTGTCAGTTCTGGAGGAAGGTCCTTGTGATGCATCAGTCTTCCCTTGGTCTGGGAGCACCTCAGCGCAGGAACCTCAGGTCCAAAGGACGCGCTCTGCTCCCGGCATTGCTTTCTTGGTGATATGAGGTCCCCATCTCTCTCTGCTTGCTACTCTCTTTTATATCTCAAAAGAGACTGGCTTAATACACAACCTAATCTTGTAGATCTCATCAATATAACTGCCACTAATCCATCTCATTACATCATAGTAATAGGATTTACAACATATAGGAAAATCACATAAAATGGTGGACAATCATACAATACTGGGAATCAGGACCTAGCCAAGCTGACAGATATTTTTGGGGGATACAATTCAACCAATGACATTCTATCCTTTGGCCCCCAAAAATTCATGTCCTTGCCACATGTAAAATATATTCACCCCATCATATCATAGCAAAAGTCTTAACTCCAAGTCCAAAATCCAAAAATTTCTCTTCATCTGTGAAATCTAGAATACAAGTTATCTGCTTCCAAAGATACAATGGCAGAACAGGCACAAGCTAGACATTTCTGTTACAAATGGGAGAAACTGGAGGAAAAGAAGGGATAACAGGCACCAAGCAATTCAGCAGAACACATTATATTAGCCCTCAAGGCTTTGAAAATAATCCTCTGTTCTCTGAGACAATTTACACAATGGCCCTGCCCTCCAGATGCTAGGTATTGGCCACACTCTCCAGATTCTGAGTAGAGATCCCTCAGCAATAGGCTTCAGCTCCACCTTCCAGGCCCACTGGGATGGCAACTGTGCTCCCTTGGCTTGAGGCACACCATTCCGCTAGTCCATCTGAGCAGCAACTCCACCCTTAGAAACACCAGAGGCTATGGCTCCACCTTTGAAACCCCAGAGGTCATGGCCATACCTTTCGAGACTGAGGCTGTTCGGCTTCCTGTGTTCCTTGTCTCTTTAGCTTCTGCTTCCTGGTTCTTTGGCCTCTCAGCCCTGGCGCCTCATGCCCACATCTGCCCTGCTGGCGTAAGTGTTCCAAAGCTCTGTAGCTCTACTGGTAAGTGCCTGGAGGCACCCCACTCCGCCAGTAAACTTCGGCCAGAAGGCACTCAGCTCTCTTGCTCTGTGTGTTCACAAGTTTAGCTCCACCGATAAGTGTCCTGAGGCACCCCACTCTGCCAGGAAGCCTCCTATACACAGGCACTCAGCTCTCTTGCTCTGTGGGTTGGCTCCAGCGCTGTCTGGCGCTGGTCTCCCAGTTCTATTGCTGCTGGTTCTCTGCCAATGCTGGTTCTCTGCTGCTGCCAGTTCTCTGCTGCTGCTGCTGGTCCTCTATCCATTCACAGTTTCAAAACTGCTTCCACATTTTAGGTATCTGTTACAGCAGCACCCCACTCCTGGTACCAAATTCTGTCTTGGTCATCTAGTGCTGCTATAACAGAAATACCACAAGTGGATGGCTTAAACAAAGAGAAGTTTATTCTCTCATAGTCCAGTAGGCTAGAAGTCTGGGTGCTGGCTCTCGAGGGGAAGGCTTTCTCTCTCTGTCAGCTCTGGAGGAAGGTCCTTGTGATGCGTCAGTCTTCCCTTGGTCTAGGAGCATCTCAGTGTAGGAACCTCAGGTCCAAAGGAAGCGCTCTACTCCTGGCACTGCTTTCTTGGTGATATGAGGTCCCCATCTCTCTCTGCTTGCTTCTCTCTTTTATGTCTCAAAAGAGACTGGCTTAAGACACAACCTAATCTTGTAGTTCTCACCAATATAACTGCCACTAATCCATCTTATTACAGCATAGTGATAGGATTTACAATATACAGGAAAATCACATAAAATGGTGGACAATCATACAATACTAGGAATCAGGACCTAGCCAAGTTGACAGATATTTTGGGGGGACACAATTTAATCCATGACAAAGTCCATTTTCTGCACACAAGGAAATGGTGCTTTATTTACATATTTTGAATCTGCTCCTGAGCCACAGAAGGAAACGAACTCAGTGTTCCTGTTCCAGTTGCACATTTGAGCTTTCCACACTTGCTGTTGAGACAGGCCTGTTCTGTCATCAGGTCTTCAGACTTTCCTTGGTAATCAGAAACAGATCAGCTGTTAGAAACGGGAATATTCCACCTGTTGGAATGACTGCCTCCTACCCTCCAGCAAATGTACCTTCCAAGCTTACTCGATCTGCTAAAGCAATTGGGCTTTGATTCTGAACTTCACTATGAACATACGATCTTTTTTCCTCACTAGAGCTATGCCCAGCATCAATCAGCAGGAGGGGCCAATAGCAAGGCAGCTGTGCAACCTGTTGGGACCTGCCTGAAACCATGAAATTGACCTAAGGAAGATATTCTGTATATAAAAAAATAGAAAGTAATGTCTCCTTACCTGATAGGGGTAGTTGTACCAGCAATGCCTTGTATCCCACAACCAGGGGGTCTGAAAAAGTGAAAAAGAAATATATTTGAGATGGTTTAGAAAAGAAGCAGGAAAAGAGATGTTTATGATGGGCTCTTGCTCCCAGTTTTTTTGGATTTCAATCATCTACCTGGTGTGACCAGTGATAGGATATGGAGACAATTTTTACCCTATCATGTATTCTCTCTGGGTGATTTTCTACACTCAACTGGTAATATTCTAGGCTGCTTCTGGAATGGAGTCTCGATTGGTATTTTTGTTTTTTATATTTTTTGCTGGTCAGAGGGACATATTCCTGCTATACAACCAGCTTCAACAGCAGTGCCCCCCAGGGTCTCAACAAGACCAGATGCATATAGTTAATCTCACTGTTATCAATAGACATAGATGACAACTGGCATAAACTACCCCAAAATTACCATTCATGGACCCATGTTTAAAAAGCAACACTATTAATCAATTGTTCCATAACTTGATCAGGAGTCAGTGAAATGCGGGTATGCTTCTTATTTCACTAGGACAGCTCAGGCCAATTCCAGGCCTGAGGAATTTAACTCTCACAACACACTCCACTCCCCTGACCTGTGGTCAAGGCCTTTTGATTACAAAATAACCAGTCTTAATTTGACAGTGATTACTTGCTTTAAAACACTGTGTAATCAAATAGATATCAAAGTGTCCACACGGATTCTAAACATTTGCAATAACCAGGGAGGGGTTGGATTTAAACAGACAGCTTAACCATTCAATAATACCAGCACATATGATTAAGAATCAGTCTATCATTAACCAAGCCTCAGTCTCTCTCTATATTAGATATAATCATGTTTAATATATGCACACTATATATATGTAAATATCTATGTCACAGTAACAATATTGTCATTGAAAGATTAATGCTGGGCTGATTTCAGATATGTTTGTACTGACCTAACCTCCTTATATTGTATCAGAAATCAGATCCTGTAATATCAAAATTTGCTGCCTGAGCTGCATCAGTGGTGGGATAATGCAGCTGTCTCCCTGAAAGCCAATCCACCCCAGTAGTTACTCTCTCATTATCCTAATCAACCCTGCATCACAAGAGTCATGATGATGATAATGATAAGTGTATCAGCTAGCATTTGTTGAGTACTCACTATGTTCCAGACACTGCTAAAGGATCTTACACATATTAACTCATTTAATCCTTACAGCAGCTAATAGCATTTGTCTCATTTTACAAATAGGTAAACGGAAGCCCTGAGTCCATAAGTCACTTGCCCAGGCTAAATAGCTAGGCAATGGTAGAGTTGGAAATCAAGCTCAGATAGTCTGGTCCTAAACCCAGACTTAACCACTGTGCACCCTGTCTTTGAGTCTGATAAAATGGAACCAGACTTCAGCCTAGTGAGCCATGTCACACCATAAACCAAAAAATGTTCCAGGATCTATACACTTTCCTTTCATTGAAGCACTACTGACTTTCCCTCCTTTTTGAGATCTTTACTTACTGCTGGTTTTGCCATTTACTACCTGTTCAACACTGTGTGTATCTGCAATCTCTCTGCACTTAACCTTAATTTTCTACATGCTAAAGTTGTGTTTCCTCCATTCTTCTCAGCTATAACATCAGTGTTCATTACTGACCTCACAGGGTGATTGTGAGGATCAGATGAGATAGTGTGTATAGAGACAGTTGGTGGAAACAACCTAAATGCACATCAGTGGATGAATGGATAAACAAAACGTGATATACACATACAATAGAATATTATTCAGCCATAAAGAGAAATGAAGTCCTGATACATGCTACACATGGATGAACACTGAAAACATCATGCTGAGTGAAAGAATTCAGTCACAAAAGAGCAAATACTATATAATCTCACTTGCATGAAATATCAGGAATAGGCAAGTATATAGAACTTAAGTTTACCAATGGTACCAGGGGTCATTGGGAAGGAGAAAAACAGGGGAATTCATTGCTTGGGGGGACACTGAGCTTCTGTTAAGGGTGATAGAAAAATTTAGAAATGGATAGTGGTGATGGTTGAGCAGTAAGATGAACGTGATTAATCTCGCTGAACTGTACATGCAAATAATGTTGAAATGGCAACTATTTTGTTACCTATATATTTACCACAATACAAAATACTTTAGAGACTTTAAAAATTGAAAATTCTATTGTGTTTTTATGGTTAATAAATAATATATGTCCATTGAGGATGATGCAGAAGATATAGAAAAGAGTAAAAATAAATAATTTGAATTCTCATCACTGTTAACATTTTGATGTACAGCCTACTTTTGGTCTTTATTTATATGCAATATAGAAATAAATGCAGATACATTTAGTTTTTACACATACATATATAAATATTTTTAAATGTAGGTTCAACACATCAACATCTATGTTAAAGTCTAGTACAAATGTTAGCTATTGCCTTTCTCTCTGATGAACTTGTTAATTATTTTCACAATTAGTTGAAATTCCCTGGGGGAAAGGTATGTCACATGCATATGTTTATCCCTCCAGAATCTATGCCCAAGTTGATAGTTCAGCATTCATTTACTGAATGCTAATGAGAAGGAATACAGAATTAAATGCAAGGCCTATACCCCCCCAGTAATGTTTTTCTGAATTCAGAATGTCCTTGGAGGGAGGCAATGAAAAGTGGATCAGTCACCTTTGACTCTGAGATGAAAATTCCTGTTGAGGTTGGTGGCTGAGCCCTCCTACCAACTTGTCTCTGAATTGTTTGTGTGAGAGAAATAAATTCCTATCATTTCTGTGATAATTTAAGCTCCTGTGTTTTGGGGTCTTTTTACAGTAGCATGGCCTATATGCTCACTAATATATGCATCAAGGTAAGTAGCAACAACTATTTTTTCAACAAAGAAACAATGGTAGAGAGATTCAGTAATTATTAATTACTTCAATTAATTAATTGGAAGTTACCCAGCTGATAAGCAGACAAGCTGGCATCCAAACCCAGGCCAGTCAGGCTCCTCCATTATACCACATTATACCTTATCCTAAGTACTCTGGATGTACAAAGAATACTAATGAAAGGCAAACATCATGGGTATTTGGAATTAATTCTCCCAAATGGGTTGTTACCTACAAACATTGAATTTTAGGGTTAGAAAGGACCTCCAAATCCTGTTAATCTACAAAAGAGCCCGCACTTTAAGATGGTAGCCATACCTCTCACTATTAAAGAGCTCCACGGTTATCAATCACTGACAAGATCCCTCAAGGCTTACTTCCTTTTTTTTTTTTTTCTTGGTCAACAGAAATTGAATCAACATTTTTTTAACATCATAAGACAACTCATCATAAATGGTGCTTAAAAGTTATTAAATTACATAACAGCTAATTCAAATTTAAGAAGACTTATAACACATTGGAATATGACTAAGACAGGCCACGTCATAGTGGATGAGAAATCACTTCTAACACTCCCTCAATCTAAATCACAACGCATAATGGGATTTTTCATTATATTGCGTACATCTGCTCCCAGACACAGCTCGGTAGTCAGCATATCCATCAATAACACAGCATTCCAAGGGAAGCTCCTCTCACTCTGAGAAAATCCAACCTGGCACCAGGGTGGACACCAGGGACGCTGCTGGGGGTCCCCTGTAGCCCTCATTTGCATTTCAACCATATGCATGAGACCTGGGTGCTATTATTCTATGACTTAAAGAAAGATAACAGCAGAGAAGCCTCTCTAAGTGTCAGTAAATCTGTTCTTTTATCAGGTTTGTCTCTTTATCAGCTCTTCTACAGAGATTTCATTGGGAACGGAATTAACAAAAATAGATCAAATCTGATAATTTTACTTTACCGTCTGGAATAAGATAGGTTTGCTCTTATTTTTTAAAGTTACTTTTGATGTTATTTCTTAAAAATAATAGTTAAAAAAACAACAAATCTATCTTCCATTTCCATGCCACCTATCGTGATGATGTATTCATCAAAAATCAAGGAAGCTAGGATTATCTCAAACCACTGATGCTTATCACATCTAAAGGCATAATACAGTTTGAAGCAAAAGGCCAAAGAAAAGGACACCCAATTAACCAGGTACGTGTTAAATGATTAAAGAGAAATATAAATACACACAGACACACATATAAGGAGCCTGGGTGGTGCAAGCAGTTTGCTCTCGGCTGTTAACCTAAAGGATGGCAGTTTGAATCCTCTCCGTGGCTCCACTGAAGAAAGGACTGGCAAACTGCTTCTGTAAAGATTACATCCAAGAAAACCCTATGGAGCAGTTCTACTCTGTAACAACGACAATAAACACACACATATATATTTTTTCAAGAATCAATAGGTAGCTATGGCTGTATGAACAGTAGTTTCTTTCAATTATTACCTATTTCATTCAACAAAAGAACATGAATCATAAAATATTAAAGGGATTTTGTTGTCTCTTCAAAGTAGTGAAAGGTGCACAGGTCTTTATCAAAAGTCAGTATCTCAGAGGCAAAATTTTATCTTTAGCTATTTCCATCCAAAATCTTACACGGCCTTCAAAAAGCCCACCTGAGACAACTAAAGCCAAGGAATACAGTCTAAGAGACGTGCTGTCCTCTACATATTTTCAGAAAAAATATATGGCTCCTTGGATAATGTTTTAAAAATACCAGAAAGCTAGATCCCTCAACTATATCAGTTTAGTAATGTCCCTTCCCTGGAAACACTTTTACTGAGTTACATTTTACTGATTGCTTACATTGAGGATTTATTTTAAGAAAGAAATATGTGAAAAATGCTTCCGTGTCTGCAATGAAACCATATTGGAAAGGTTACCATCACGCCCAATGTGTAAGTTTCCAGATGACACTTTCCCTTTAAAATTTAATCCATAGGGGAAAATATTTTCCTTTTGTGAATGCTTAGCATCTTTTCTCGTACTGAGAATTATGATACCCCACTGTTTCCTTTGTACTTAAGCTTTGGGATGCTGAGAGGTAATGCTAAAGCTCAGTCACAACAATTGTGATCACCTCTCAACATCTTTGCT